GGGGGAAAGTAGGGGTGGAAGGACGCACGGGGGGGGAAGTCACGCGGCGGAAAGGTGAGCGGCGCGGGGAGGAACGGGTCGAGATCTGGGGGGGGGCGGAAGAGGAGTGATGGGGGGAATCTCAAGGTGGGGAAAAGCGTGCAGTTGATCGTGAGGGAGGTGGGTGGTGGCGGTGCGAAGGAGGGGGCTTACCTGCGTGTCAGCGATGGCAGCAACGACAGTGACGAGGCAACGATGGCGAGGACGTGGCAGCGATGGCGATATCGGGACAACGATGATAATGACGTGGCAGCGGTGCTGAAGACCGTGACGATGACAATGATGTCGAGGACGTGGCAGCGCGGGAGCAGGGAGGGAGGGAGGGCCGGTTGCCGCTCCGATACCAGTGTGACAAGGCGGAGGCAGAGTAGCGAGGCCGGGGGGGAGAGAGAGGGAGAGAGTGAGGGCACACACACACACTCACTCAACTCGACACAGACTCGACTCGATGCGACGGATGCAGACACGGAGAGGCAAAGTCACAAAGTCGCAAAGTTGCAATCTTGGATTCCGAACACAATGTCACAGCAAGTCACACTGAAGCACAAACACTGAGGCCGAAAACTGAGTGCCCGTATTGGGCTTGAGTCCGGTCTTAAAGTACCGGCCTCAAGTTCAGTCCCGAGGGCAGAAATGCAATTTGCCTCAGGGCTGAACTGAGAATCGAAGGTCTGAGTCTGGGCTCCAGAATGGCGGATGGCACCAAGTATCGAAATCCGAAAGTGCCAAAGGAGGAGAACGGGCGCCAAACTGCAGAGGGCGCCATCAGTCGGGAACCAGAAGTTAGAAAACGAAAAATAAAATAGCAGCCTGGCGGGTGGTGACCCGCGGACCAGGGATCGAGCCCTGGATGAGTCTGTAACATCATGCATGTCTTAGTGGCCAACCTTTTTTTGGTGGATTCGAGAGTCCTGCGTGATTGTGGTTGGCTGAACTCATGCATTTTTTGGTGGCCGAACTTTTTTGGTGACTTCAAGAGTCCTGTATGCTTCTGTTTACCTGAGCTTATGCATGTTACTGATGGCCAAATTTTCAGCCTCACGTAGCAGAAGCTTGTCCGAACCTGACTTTCGGTCGCACTAGCCATAGGTAAGAAGATCATTTGCTGCATGCACACATGCTTGGTGGGGTGATCTGGTAGCTATGCAAGGGGGTTTGGTAGCTAGGCTGTCCATGGTGGAGAGGGGCGGTGGGGGGGTTGGTAAAGAGGGCGTGGGTAGGGAGATGTTGGGCGGGTAGGCGAGTGAACATTTTTTGCTTCGTGATGGGGTGGTCTGGTAGCTGTGGGGGTTGGTAAAGAGGGCGTGGGTAGGGAGGTGTTGGGCGGGCAGGCGAGTGAACATTTTTTGCTTCCTGATGGCGTGGTCCGGTAGCTGTGCCCCCTGAATGTCTGTAGGAGCTTCCTCGCCAGGAGGCAAGCACACAATCTTGCAACCTCGTGTGCATTACAGTATGGCATGCGTAGTTGTTAACTGCCCCACATTCTCATTCATTAGAATGAGCTGCTAGAACATCAGACAGTGCATATATCCAACACGTGGCTTCGCTCATCCCTTTGAGGAAATCTTAAGTTGCAGTCTCTTGATGTATTTAGTGGTATGTGCATGGATGGGCAGTTTTTATGAGATATTACTATTGGAATGTGTGGAAGATGTTTGCGGATAGTGGTACTGAGGAAATATCGCAACTTTTTGCCGCATCCACCATGTTATGGACTGTGTCATGAAGTGGATAGGAAAGGGTTTCACACAGTCAGGCCTGAAGTCCCTGTCCCAAGAGTCCCAATTGGTCCTCGTCCCTGGCTGTCCCGGTAGGTCGAGTCCCAGGGTCCATAGGTCGAACCGTCGTAGGCCAGTAGGAGGCGGGTAGGTAAAAGTACGCAGGTACCGCCAGAGGAATTCCAGTCCCGAAGTCCTATTTTGCAGCAGCGTGCCAAGAAAGTCCGGAGACTTCCAGAACACCAAAGTTGGCAAGCAGAGGCCACTGGTGACCAGTACCGGTCCGAAGCAGGCACACAAAGTCAACTGCAGCTATTGATAGCTGCGACAGTGCTAAGGCCAACACAATGTTCATTTGCAACGTTGTAGAAGCACTGCTGGTTGCTTGTCCGATCATGCGACCTGGACTGGAGAAGGCACTGGGGAAAAAGCAAGTGCACTGGCAGAGAGTTTCAGCCGTAGATAGGTTTAGCGAGGAGGGGGACAGTGGCCATAGCCGCAGAGGTTCAGGGTGACGTCACGCAGTGTATTCAAGGTAGATCTAGACATGTGGGAAGAGGGAGCACATCAGAAAGGTTGAGCGATACAAGACTTGAGTGCGAGAGAACACACACACACACACACTGCCGTGTTTTGCAGCATGGGCTGTTTTGTTGATGAAGTGATGTTTGTGGGTGGCCACGAGCTTTTTGGGGGTGGGTGTTTGGGATTTTGAGAGAGAGAGAGAGAGAGAGAGAGAGAGAGAGAGAGAGAGAGAGAGAGAGAGAGAGAGAGAGGGAGGGAGGGGGGTGGAGCTGGGTGCATACCTGTAATCGGGTTGCAGTGTTGGATTGCGGCTGCGGCTGCAGGATACTCGAGCTTTCCAATTGTATTGTATCATATTATTGAGTGGAAAATTGGAAATGCATCAGGCGCTGGATTCGTGTGTTATCTCTCGGGTGCAGTGTGAGCTTTCATCTGAATGCTCTCATCTTGCATTTTCGAATTGGATTGAAATTGCAAGGTTCATTGCAGATATACTGGCGGAATGACATAGTCTTTGCTAAACTGGGTAACTGAGATGAAATTTGGGAAGCAATTTGAGCAGTGCATACAATGCTATCAACTAAAAAGTTCTGCCTCCTTCACCTCCTTCCGCTCTTTCTGTGTTACCCCCTCTTGCCCCTGACCCTCCCACCTTCCCACCTGTCTCTACGTCATGCTCTCAACTGAATTCAGGTGGAAAGTGCAAGGAGGGAGGCTGCTGACAGCGGAGTTGAACTTGCGGATCTGAAGGCTGAGCTCTGGGCAGTTCGGGAAGCTGCAAAGGGTAGGGCACTTGGGGAGGATGAGCGGCAAAGCTTGGAACAGGCCCTTAAGGCAGTTTCAGCATCAGCATCAACAGCAGCTGGCGAGGCTGCCTCATGGCAGTCAAAAGCACAAACGCTGGAGAAGGAGCTCCAGTTGCAGGCCAAGGTTCTGGCAGGTACACAAGCTGAATTGGCACTTGTGAGGCAGCAAGTTCTCAATGCAGAGGCAGCAAAAGAGGAGGCACAAAAGTTGAAAGATGCGGTATGGTTCTTGCCTGTTAAAAAAGATACTCTCCTTTTTTGTAGATGGGATGGGAGGGATGGATGAGAGGGATGGATGGGAGCGTGGGATGAGGGAGGGATGGGGAAGGGATGGGGGAGGGATGGATGAGAGGGATGGATGGGAGGGAGAGATGAGATGGATGCAATGGATGGATGGGATGGATGGATGGAATGGATTTATGGGATGGATGGATGGAATGGATTTGTGGGATGGATGGACGGGAGTGAGGGATGGAGTGAGGGATGGAGTGAGGGATGGGAGGGAGGGAGGGAGGGAGGGAGAGATGGGAGGGAGGGAGCGATGGGATGGATGGATGGATGGGAGGGAGGCCTCTGATGGATGGGAGGGAGTGACGGGAGGGATGAATGGATGGGAGGGGGGGATGGGATGGGAGGAATGGATGGGATGGATGGGAGGAGGGATGGGAGGGAGGGATGGGAGGGATGGATGGCAGGGATGGATGGCAGGGAGGGATAGGATGGATGGATGCAAGGGAGGGATGGCAGGGGAATGGATGGGAGGGATGCGAAGGGAGAGATGGATTGGATGCACGGGATGGATGGATGGTACTCAAACTATTTGAAATCCCCTTCTTTGGTCGTTTTTGGTCTTTTTTTTTTGTGAATTGGAAAAACATGAAATTTGGCAGGCATATACCTTATGAGCGGGGGAATCTTGGGATGGATGGTACTCAAATTATTTGAAATCCCATTCTTTGGTGGTTTCTAGTCTTTTTTTTTCCGTGTGAAATTGTGAATAAAAAAAACATGAAATTTGGCAGGTATGCACCTTATGAGCGGGGGAATCTACAAAAAAGAATTAAAAAAAAGAAAAAGAAAAGGCCTCCCAAAATCTATGCTGGGCAGTTGCCCAGCTGGGCCGGACTCGCCCAGGAAACCCGGGGAAGTCAAAAACGAGGCAAGGATACCCCCCTCCAAAAAACAACTGACTTCAGGCCAGGACTGCACTTGTTCTGAGCAGTCAGAATCCAGCCTCACCTTCAAATTTGGTGATGGGTCACCCAGGGGAGTTTGGCTGGTATAAACAGTGAGTGAAGGGGTTTATGTTTTCTATTTTATTTCTATCTAAAATTAAGGGCAAAGTCTTGAAATACCCTTAAAAGTTGGGGTATTTCGTCAGATACCCTTGAAGCACAGGGGCACGACGAAATATCTCGAACGTCTGCTTTCGCCCCTGTTGAAAATGTCCCGAACTTCTTCTTTTGCCCCTGTCAAAAATGTCCCGAACTTCTGCTTTTGCCCCTGTCCTGGCCACAGACAACTTTGCTATATGCCCTTGGCCGTGGACTGTAGAGGCCGACACACTACTTTTGCCATCTGCCCCTCTACCAGGCAGGCATCTTTTCAGCCTGCCCTAGATCCAACTTTTCGCTGTCCCCATTCAAATTTTGAAAGTGTGTGTTGGCATTGCTGTTTCCTGCTGGGTTGTTGCTGTCCGCGTTTCGCTAGCGGTGTGTTGCCAGTGTGTTGCCCTTGCCCCTTCAGGGTGTGTTGTGTTTGGGGGAAAGCCTGCTACCGTCTGCCCCCTGTACACAACACACCCTGATAACAAATGTATGCAAGTGATCTTTTCGGTCCAGTGCAGCCATAGTGACGGTTGTTGTGCTCGGGGAAAGACGGTTAATGGGGGAGAGAGAGAGAGAGAGAGAGAGAGAGAGAGAGAGAGAGAGAGAGTGAGAGTGAGAGGAGGTCTTCCCCCGAACACAACACGCCCTTGCTATGGCTGTAACTGGACCGGAAAGATCGATTGTCTACGTTCGTTATCTCTCTCTCTCTCTCTCTCTCTCTCTCTCTCTCTCTCTCTCTCTCTCTCTCTTACCGTTGTCGAGTGCATCAGTCCCGCGCAGTGCGGGACCCTCCCGGCCGCGTCACGCAGGAGTGGTGTTTCTCATCACGATACACAAGGAGCTTCCACAACCCGCTCCGGCCGAGTGTGCCAGCCATACCTCTCGCTAGCCCCTACGACAGGATAGGGCCAACGCGAGGTACAACTTACCTCCACCTGAGGGAGCTGTCACCTCCCTTCGGTGGGCGTATCCCCGCCGAGCTACCAGTCCACAACACGAAAGCTAATCAGTTGCAATGGCAGAGGTGGACCAGCCGAGGGTGTTTCTCGTTCGCTGTAGCATAAGGGGGTACGCGTGGTCCCACGCCCCTATCGGACCCGCACACAAACCGACGCACTGGGGGGCTGAAGTCCCAGGCACGACTCGTCGTCGGTCGACTAGGACGCATCTTGCTCACCACGCGTTACACCACACTTGAAACATAAAAATAAAACACACACACACACGCAACGGCGTAAACAAACAACACAACAACACTCCTAGTCGCTTTTGTATCCAACCCATAACCTTTCGACGCGGAAATCGGATAGGCGTCGCGCGTGAGACTTAGTATAAAACCTCGCGGGCGCAGGGCCTTCTCATATCGACTAGCAATGCATGCTTACGCAAGCGGTCACAATGATGGCGTACTGTGTAGTATCTATAATCACGCGGTCCTCGACAATCTCGAGGGTCGCATTCGACACTTAAGTGTTAGATGACACGCGCCTTGAAGGGTTAGTCTCTCGACGCTGGACAACCGCCAAGTGCGGTTGAGAACCACACCCTCTTTTGCACCCTGCGGAGAGTGGGTGGTACACAGGTTCATACTTGTGGTGGCAATCGTCTCTTATCACCCTGGAGACCAACTCCATCATCCAGGGCCTGGAGAGAAATCAAGGGGTTTAACTTTGACGGCTGTCACGGACCACAATGTCCAACTATGGGAAAAAAAAATTACAAAGTAAAGGATAAAAAGGATCTCCCTTTTCTCTCAAAACATCATCAGTCTAACTTTTTCGCATGGTCACAATAGGCTACGCGAACACCCAACGAATATGTATGTACGTATATGCATAGGGGTATAAATATGTGACGATCACTTCTCACAATCACTGTGGGACTCCTCTTAGCCATATATATGTATGTGATCGCAGGCAGTCAAATCCAAAGTCCGAACCATAAATATACCTGCAATCACATCAAAGATTCAACAAAAAAGTTCACCCACTACACAGGGTGAACTTCAACCATTCTTTGCGCTCATTCCCCTTGCTTTAGCCACACAAACCCCAACCTTAGCGCACCTTTCCAACAATAAAGTAATCAACATCTTTGTTAAATAGCCATTCAATAAAGTCCGGGTAAAAACACAACGAAACAAGCAAACCAGAGGGCTAAAGCCTTTAGGTTGAGTGGCAAGAGTGGATTGGAGTTGAGTCGTAAACTTTCGAATCGACAACCGACCTGTTATCAGTAATAACAGAAGTTGATCCTCGTGGGATGAAGTTGAAACTAGTCAAAATCTTGAATCAAATCGATCAAGAGGACTTGTAACACAAGATAGGTCAATTCCCAAACTAAGCCATCAGTGTATGGAGAATAAATCCCCATAACACGTTCTCACTTAAGACTCCCCTGATAACCAAGCCTAAGTCTACCTCTAAGTCAGTGCCCAAGGAAAGGTAGACCTATGGAAGAATCCCCCCTATACAAAGTGGATTGTCAGAATCGCAACCTGTCGAATATAATCTATCTCCTTTAAACTAAGATAATTTCGGCAGCGCTTCCCGTAGGGAAAGTGTTTTTTCATAATTATATTAGCCTAAATATGAAAACTGAAATAATTTTTAACTCTACAACGTCAAATTTTGTCTAACTCCCTGAATTTGTAAAATTCGGCCACCATCTCCTTTAGAGAAGTAGACTGTCCAAATTTATACTAAGTCAGATAAGCACTGAAGGTAAAACTTGAGTTTAGCCAAGACAAAATTTAACTAACTCCTTAGATTCGTAAAATTTTCCGAAGTGCTTCCGGTAGAGAAAATAACTTTCCAAAGTCCAAAATCTAGAAATGACTTTGACTTCCCAAAGTCCAATTTTGTTCAACTCTTTGAATTAGCAAAAAATTAGGCAGCACTCCCTTTAGAAAAGGAGACTTTCCAAATTTTTACTAAACCATATGTAAATTTAAATAAGTTGAACCTTGAAAACTCAAAATATGACTAACTCCTTGGTTTTGTAGAAATTTCGGCAGCGCTTCCCGTAGAGAATGTGGCTTACCAAGATTTATACAAGACCAAGTATAACAAAAAGATCCCAGAAAATGCAGAAATTGACCTAAGTAGAAAAAACTTAGCTCAGAAAATGCAGAAATTGAAAGTAACTCCTATAACTCTAGCATGTGGAAAACATCTAAAAGAACTACCTATCAAAATTGAAACTCATACTACGAAGTGATCTCACACAGCCACATGCAAAGCCAAACCACAATGGTAAATACTCTTCACCATCCCAAAGTCACCTTGGTTAAAAAACAGTTCGTAGTATTTCAATGATTTGTCCCTTCTACCCAAGCTTACATAAGGCATAAAGCTAGATCATCCAATCTTATGGAAACCTGTGTAGCTCAACCATTGAATATACACAAACGCAGGGCACTACAACTTTTCTCTTCCTTGGGCATATGACTAGGCTGTCCAGCGTAGTTGCCCAAAACTGTTTAAGTAAGTTGTATATAAATGTCTGCACTTAGTCTTTTAAGGCAGCATATGACTGAACCGATCATCTTAGATCAAGGTTCAGTCTCCCCCTTCTTACCACAAATTTATTCTTAATTCATACTCTCTCCAGTTGGTGATAAGCTATAGTCAAACCATCCAATCTTATGGAAAAATGTTCGACTAGCTTGTTCATAAATAAAAATAGTATAAAAATATTAGCAAGTTTATCCCTTTGGTTCCAGCATGTGCGTGGCTCCATACTAGACCACCCAATCTTATGGGAACCTGTCTAGTCCTTCGCCTAATTTTCCCACAGAATAAACAAGAAGACATTAATAAACATCAGAAAACCTAAACAAAGCAAGGCAACCAAGCCATCCAATCTTATGGAAAAATGCTTGGCCTCTGAA